TTATATTGATTTTGATGTTATATTTACTATATACATAAAGAAAGAAATGAAGAAGAAAGATAGCAAAGTTTGCTAAACATATTTGATAAGTTTCATTTGTACCAATCTCAGCAATTATAAAATGAAGCAATAGGGATTTACAAAATCCACAGTTCACTTCCAACAAAAACCAACAACTCAAGCCTTAGTCATCCAAACAACCTAGCAATACAGAACCATTCCAACAGTAAAATATTTCAACATTTGTCAGCAAACGAACAGAGCATCATTCAACGTTTTCAACTAATGGAGAATAACCACTGGTTTTGATTAGCCACAGGCACTTACAAGAAGAACGGATGTGGTATGTATGTTTTGTATAGATATAGAATATGTGATTAAACTACTAGGCCCGCTTCCTTAATCTGTTCATTTGTTTACATTGAATTCCGATGTCCAATAACATTTGTCATATGAAAACATAAAAAGCAATAGATTCTCATCCCCTTTCCTTGCTTTCATTTTCTTTCAGTTTCTCAGAAACCGAACAGAGTCACTGAGAAGTTGAGATTGAAGCATAGGGCAACAAGGGGAAAACCACTGACCTTTGCAGGCGGCGTCGAGAAGGGGTGACACGTCAGCCCAGACAGTGTGATCGCCGGAAGGAATGGGAGTGCGTTCGGGTAAGGGGAGGTCCACTGTAGCTTCCTGTGCACTCGTCCCGGCCATCGTCGTAGATGCTTTTCGCTGCGGAAGCTTTGGAAGTCTCCTGTATTGCTGCTTGCTGGGTAGCGTTGTGTGTGTGATCTTTTTAGCAAAGGCGGGTGCTTTGCTCGGTTGCTGCCCACTTGCCTGCCTTGACAAGTACAACAACAACGACCAGCTTGCGCGTCAATCAGTGTGGACTGGTGGGGGTGTTTAGGGCATCAAATGGGTCGGATCTGGTCTTGGTATGATTTCATTGGATTTCCTTTCAATTTTTATTTAAGAAATAAGAAAAATTAAAGGGTAATCCTCCTCTTCTTTTTTTTTCATTTTTCGGATTAGGGTGAAATCCTTGTACATTTTCAAGTATAGCAATAGTTTTTCAACTCAATCTTAAATTTCATTTTAATTCTTAAATTAAAAATAGTTTTGGTATTTGTTATTAAGGATTTTGCTAAGATCAGTCGCTCTCCAGTAAATGACGATTTATGACTATTATAATATGTTATCTTTAATAGTCAAAAATAGTCACTTATGCATGATAAATATCCATTTATTATGTATTTTTCCCAAACTATTGTGTCATATATGTATGTGAGTACTACATTTTCAATAGTGTACCTTCATTTCAGCCCCTAACTAACTAATAATTAATGGAAATTAAAAATTGAAAATACTCTCCAATAAAATTGCCTTCTTCTTCTTTTTTTCTTTTGGTTCAATGTGCATGTGACAGGCGCGACTCATTTCAAGTTCATAGTAGGTAATTGAAGAAACACACCTAAAAAAGAATCATATGTAAACCCTCTTGCTATTACAATGGGAAGAATATATAGTACACCAGTGTCTGGTCCGATGTGATCCAAGCAACGGACATGAGAAATCAAGATGGCAGCAAAACATCAAGCCTTCTCAGCCAAACCGAGTGAAGCAACATGTGGATCATATCATAAGGTTGAGCTGGTCGATGAATCATGAAATGCCTGTGCACCTCTGTCACCCTCTTTTGCAGTTTCAAATACCTTTTGGGGGAAATTCCTTTCAAAATTGTCTTGATTTCTGGTATTTTTTCTGATGGAATGTACACGGAGAATTTGGTCCAATCAAGAACATCACTAAAGGGCAATGCGTAGTAGTCAGAAATGAGGACAGGGACACACCCCACAGAAATTGCTGTGACCACCCTTGCACTTGCCACTTCATACCCACTTGGGCACAAGCAAAACTTGCTCTTCCCCATTAACTTGAAGTAATTTTTCTTCTTGTCAAGGTACTCATGCACTTGCACTTCGTTGTCTTTGTCTTTCCAATGCTCGAGCAAGATATGCCTTATGTTGCCGTGAGCACCGCCAGCGAAGAAGGCGAGGATGGAACGCTTATCAGGGCTTGTACTCTGTGGGGTTGGACCAAGTTTTCCATAGGGTATGTTGATTTCTGGAATTGAGACATCTCTTCGGGGCTTAAACCCTTCCGAGGTATTGGCATTGCATAAAACTCTTATGAACTTGTCGTAGAGCTTAGGGTCTGCTTCTGAAATGTCCGGTGCCTGAAATTTTAAACTAACTACTAGTCAGGATGAGTGATCAATTGTGCATTTAAATAGTCATTCGAATTATAGAAGACAAAACAAAACCATTTAGGGCATGTGCATCATTGACCACTTTGTCAATTATCTCTCTTACGTGCAACGTGTAAAGATGTTGCAAATAGTTTTATTCAAAAGCTTGGAAACTAAACTAATAATGAAAGATAGAAGAGAAGAGATATAAAAGGAGGCATACCCAATCATGGCAAGAAACTAAGAAATGGTCAGCACCTTGGCTTCTATTCCAGTAAGGGTATCTTTCAGATATAATGCCAATATAATCCAAAACCACCCTTTGTAGCTGATCACGGGAATAAGTGACAAGAGGCTTGTAAAGAGTGTTGACGATGTTGACCACACTGATAGGTATGAGGAACAGGTTGGCCTCATCAGGATGACGAGCCATGAAGCGGCTCTTCCCGCTCTCCATCTCGTCGATGAACTGCCCCTCGATGCCGTAGATGTTGTTCAACGGCCCGCCGTGGACCAAGGGAGGCTCTCCTTCCCTGTAAATCCACACCTTCAATCTTTTCTCCATCTCTACGTGGCTCCTGATCCATCATCATACATAACCAAAATTTATTTATTTATTTATTTCGGTAAATAACGTATTTGTGCTTGCTAACCCAAATTCAAGCATGTCACATATTAATAAAGGTGCACAAATTTTAGTGCTACAAAATTCAAAACCTGCATGGTATGAAATCAATGCGTAAAGGTTAGGCTTAGTAATTTGAATCCAATTAATTAATGATATGAATTGAGTAGAGAATAATCGACAAGGATGAAATTAGCGGAAGCCAAATTAAGGTTAAAAAGCTTGTCCCTTGGCATTCTCTCACGGTTAAAATTTCTCGATATATAAACTCTACTCTAGCAATTACTATACGTACATAATGCTGAATCATTAAGGACAACAGAAATGGTAAATTAGAAAGATTTCATTGAATTGGAACAAAAATTGGTAAACGCTGATTTTAGAAGATTTTAATTCCATATATGCATTAACCATAAATCAAGAATTTTATTTGAAAAATTATGGAAAGTTTGAAGGTGCGAATTTTTTTCGTGACAACTCGCATTATGGATTCCATTCCGATCAAATGTTGTAGCACTCTATTTGCTTTTGCTATGATACCACTTGAACGTTGTGTTAAGGTGACACACTACACCCTTATAGTGTAGTGATACAATATTTTTCGATTATATTGTTTGTGTGTGTCATTTCTAATCACCATGTTATAAGTTAGCATTTTTGTATTCGTAGTAAATCAATTAATATTAAATGACCAGATTTTGTTTAATATAGACATTAAATTTCCCATTACCCTCTCAGTCGGGAAAGTCATCAAAAGTCAAAACCCGGAAGAAAAAAATAATTGGATTCAAAAGAAAAACCTCTGTTTAGACAGAGAAAGAAACTGACAGAAATGAAGGAAAACATATATGTGAAACTTAACTGATGAAAAGAATGTGCATTTCTGTAGATGGATCCTGTTGGAATGAACCCTTGATCATCATTTCCCTTGGAATGATTCTTTGCCTGAACTGCTTTACGAATCGCATCTCGTGCTCTAGCCAAATCTGCTTCAATTCTCTCCAAATTACTCATTTTCTACTCAGACATGAAACAAAATAATAAAATCGATCACATATACATATTCAAAATAAAAAATACATGTATTCATGGCATAAACAAACATTTACACACTCACTTTTTTAGGTTTTTCCACCCCTTCAATGAGACTACTAGTGTCATTCGCCGTCAATGAGTATGACGGCGATAACAATGTTGGTGACGGTGATAGTGGTGGTGATGGTGGCGATGAAATGGGTGGCGGGGTGTCATGGATGGTTTTTATGTGGGAAATAGGAGTAGGATATGAGAAAATAATATTGGTAATGCTGGTTTGGTATAATGGAGATAAATAAAAGAGAAAAAAACAAAAGAGAAACAGAACGGGTAGAGTTACAGTCACAGTTTGCATAGCAGAGCCAAATTCTGCCATGGCTTTTGCTTTCCTTCTCACTTGTTTGAAGGAGGAGGAGAGAGGAGAAAGAACATTGTATTTGGTACATTGGGGGGGTGATAAATATGAAATCAAAGCACACGTAAAGCTCTAAAGTCACAATTTGGTGAGTATTTGTCGTCACAAACCAATGTACATGTAATGTATGTGTGGGACCCTCCTACCTACGGGCTACGGTTATGGTATGCAAAATTTGGTACGTCGAGGCTGGTGATATATGGTAATAATTTAATTCAAATCTTGGCAAATCAATGGTAGAAGAAGGAGAATCTGGATATTTAATACATTGAGATATTGGGTTTAAGGAGAAAGGAGGAGGATAAGAGTGATTACTCTTTTCGCACATGGATGGAAGTTGAGATATTATATATGGAAAAAAGGAATCAGTGGCCAACTCATTACTCATGAGTCATGCCTTCACAAGAAACAGATTGGTTGAATATGTATGTAACCTATACAATTATTTTGTGTAAGTTATTTGCCTTTTCTGTTTTTATATAGACTGCATTAATTCATCATCAGTGTGTAACTGCATCAACTTTAAGTGGTTGTATGAGGCAGATTATGGAGTTGGAGAGGGGACAACAACAGGATCCAAAATAAGACTTGATTATAGAGTTGCAGGTCATCCTATTGGCCACATTTTTATTGTTGGCCACATTTTACATCATACTAAAAAGGGAAGGAGACATGAAACTTGATTATGTTTCGAGTTTAAAGTTAAGTCGTCTCAACCACACTGAATGAAGCACCATATGAATCACGTCAAATGACTTAGATGGTCTGTTTAGCACAAAATGCCGATGAACTCTTGACACCCTCTTTTGCATTTTCAGATATTTTTCATATGGAATTGATTCTAGGATGGTCTTAATTTCTGGTATCCTAGCGACAGGAATTTGTACTGAAAATTGGCTCCAATTGAGGACATCGCCGAAGGGTAATGCATAATTGTCGGAAATTAAAACCGGCACACACCCTGCATAAAATGCCTCCACCACTCTTGGGCTTGCCACTTCAAACCCACTTGGGCATAAACAATACTTGCTCTGACCCATTAATTTGGTGTAGTTTAGGCCCTTGGGAAGCTTCTCATGGACCTGAACTTCATCGTCTTTGCCCTTCCAATAATCGAGCAGCATGGGTCGAATGGGTCCGTGAACCCGACCCGCAAAGAATGCTAGAATTGGGCGGTTGTTTGGAGCCTGACCCAAAGAGGGTGGGCCAAGCCTTCCATAGGGCAAGTAAATTTCAGGAAGCGAGACATCTCTTTTGGGTTGGAATCCTTCGGAGGTGTTGGCATTGCAAAGCACTCTAATAAAATTCGTGAAAAGCTCAGGCTTCCCAACTGAAACTTCCGGTGCCTGAATTATGAAATATTATACTTGTTTTAGAAGTATGAAATTTTGAATATTCAAGTCAAACAAGTACGTTCCCTTAACACTTAATTTGGTTTTTGTTATCTTTTCCAAAAGAAAAAAAAGAAAAAAAAGAAAAAAAGAAAGACAATTGATGGGAACTATAATACATACCCAATCGTGACATGAAGCCATGAAATGGTCAGCACCATTGCTTCTGTTCCAGTAGGGATATTTATTTGCCACCACCCCAATGTAGTCCATCACAACCCGTTGCAGGCGATCGCGATAGTAGTCTTGTTTTCGGGTGATAGGCATGTAAACATAGTGAACAATATTGGCCACGCTGACGGGCAGGAAAAATGTGTGCGCCTCATCAGGATGTGTAGCCCTAAAGGGGCTCTCCTCCCTCTCTATTTCATCAATGAATTGTCCCTCAATGCCATATATGTTGTTCACTGGACCAAAATGCACCAGCGGTTGCTCTCCTTCCTTGTAGCTCCACACCTTGAACCTCTTCACCATCTCTATGTGGCTCCTGCAGCAAGCACATCACAATTATTTAAGCCCTTAATTTTATAAGAAAACTAGCCTGCGTACTTAATTATATAGAAGCTTAAAACTCAACTGGTGAAAAGCATATGGGTTTTTGTAAATGGTTCCTCTTGGGACAAAAGTCTCTGTTTTCTCCGATGTGTAGTTTTTAAACCGAATTGCTTCAAGGATCGCTGCTCGTGCTTTGGCCAAATCTTCTTCAATTTTCTCCAAACTAGTCCTACCCTGGTGACGAGATTAAATACACTAAAAGCTAGTATTAGTCAACTGCATTAATTTACCAAAACAATTACCAAAAGCTTCTACGTACATATGAAGAAACTAACTAGCTCTAGTATTGCTTACTTTGGTAGCACTAGCCTTGTGTCTCCTTTGATACATGGAGTTTGTGAGAATTAATTCATCCAGAGAAACGTGGGGCGGGGTTGCGTGGTTGGTCTTTGTTAGATTGAAAGGTGTAGTGGTATTGAAAGAGGAAACAAAAGGAATATTGAGATGGTTTTCAGTAAACGGTAAGGGTGAAAAGGTTAGAAGGAAGAAAAGAAGAAAAAACAAAGTAATTAGCGAAAAAAGTGTGGAGCAGCGGAATAAAGCTGAAGTCATGGCTTCACTTCTGGTCTTTAATTCACCATTTCCTTAAGATAAGAGGTGAGGGTAAGTCTATGACTCGGTGAGGAAGAAGATGGATGATCATCTGTGCTTATTTAAGGACCTGCAGAGCTGCATTTTTTGACATGGAAAAAGAATTACTTCTTAGCGCTTGAGGTGGAAAAAAAATCGAACGTCTATCGCATTGATGTTAATGCAAAATAATTGAACATGGAAGATTGCTACAGATATCGATATATATATATATTAGTATTCCTAAAAATTTGATGATGAGTATCTTGCAAGTTATCAGAGGAATTATTAGCATTTTGCCATACATATGAGATATGACACCTCATTCGGAGGAAAAATCGTGGCCATGTAAATTGTAATGAATAGAAAGTAAACCCTTTGTCTAAGGCTCGGGGCTCATAATATATTTGACAAAGTAAATCTCTTGGTCTTAAACTGAGGGAGAGTAGCTAGTCATCCAATTCTATGGTGAAGTTTTGTAGCATATATGGCCCTTGGGAATCGACCAAACTGTAATCCCGAAGGTATATTAATATATATACCTCAGAGTTAGTCAAATTCATTCATTTATCAGCTTTGAGCTTTGTACGTGAGGGCAATACCAATGTATATATATGAGGTCGAAGTGAATTTCTTGGATCACAAACTTCTTGAAGCTGCTGCTTTTTGATTGAACTGAAAGTAATATGCTGTTAAAAGTCCAACCATTTGGCCTCAGAGAGAGAGAGAGAGAGAGAGAGAGAGAGAGAGAGATGGATATAATATCTGTAATCTAAATCTAATGGTTTACCTTGGAAACTGCAGAATACATAATGAGGGTGCTGGGTTTATACATAACCTACATATTCATGCATAGTCATACAGGTGATGATGTTGACTTAAGCCGATTATTTGACTATAATATACAGCTGATGATCAGTGGACTTAAAAGCCGATTAATTAAACTGTAACTTGACCTGGAAGATAATACTCAAATGAGAAATGAGGTTGGTTTTATTTATGTACTCAAATCCTGTTTTTGCTTTTAATATGGCGTTTGAGAGGGGAAAATAATAACAAAATTAATAGCTTCTGGGCCTAGCTAGCTAGCTTGTGGCTTATTGGTTATTGGTTTGGCGCCAACATGTTACATCTAAGCAATACCATAGACTGAGATAAAAAGAAGGGGTAATAGATTACAAGAGCTGATGTTTATGAATTATGATCATGTCTAGTGTCAAGCTTAGAGTTTAATCGTCTCAACCATACAGAGTGAAGTACCATGTGAATCACGTCAAATGGCTGAGACGGCCTATTCAGCACAAAATGCCTCTTAACTTTAGACACCCTCTTCTGCATCCTCAAATATTTTTCATAGGGAATTCCCTGTAAGATGGTCTTAATTTCTGGTATCTTAGCAACAGGAATTTGTATTGAAAATTGGCTCCAATTAAGGACATCACTGAAGGGCAATGTATAATTGTCAGAAATTAAAACCGGCACACACCCTGCATAGAATGCCTCCACCACTCTTGGGCTTGCCACTTCAAACCCACTAGGACACAAGCAATACTTGCTCTTTCCCATTAGTTTGGTGTAGTTTTGGTCTAAGGGAAGCTTCTCATGGACTTGAACTTCATCATCTTTGTCCTTCCAATTATCCAGCAAGATAGGTCGAATGGATCCATGGACTCTGCCTGCAAAGAAGGCTAGAATTGGACGGTTGTTTGGGGGCTGACCGAAATATGGGGGGCCAAGCTTTCTAGAGGGCACATAAATTTCAGGTAATGGGACATCTCTTCTTGGCTGGAATCCTTCAGAGGTGTTAGCGTTGCAAAGAACTCTAATAAAGTTCTTGAAAAGCTCAGGCTGCCCTACTGAAATCTCGGGTCCCTGAATGATGAAATAGTTATTTGAAAACAAGACATTTCTGATCAATTCAAACAAAAGATTTGTTTTCTTTTTTGAAGGCTAGAAATGAAGCAATTAACTAACATACCCAATCGTGACATGAAGCCATAAAATGGTCAGCACCATGGCTTCTGTTCCAGTAGGGATATTTCCGTGCCACAACGCCAATGTAGTCCACCACAATCCGTTGCAGACGATCACGATAATAGTCTTGTTTTCGGGTGATAGGCAAGTAAACATATTCAACAATGTTGGCTACACTGACGGGCAGGAAAAATGTGTGTGCTTGATCAGGATGTGTAGCCCTGAAGGGGCTCTCCTCCCTCTCTATTTCATCTATGAAATGCCCTTCAATGCCGTATATGTTCGTCATTGGACCAATATGTACTAATGGTAGCTCTCCTTCCTTGTACGACCAAACCTTGAACATCTTCCTCATCTCTATGTGACTCCTGATCAGTGACAATATCACAATTTTTATCACCAAAACAATCATTTATAAGGAAACCTCTTGATCATGAAATGAAAATGCTGATTTGTTTTTCCAATATATAATAATTAGTTAGCAATACTCAACTGGTGAAAAGCGTAAGGGTTTTTGTAAATGCTCCCTCTTGGGATAAAAGTCTCTGTTCTCTCTGATTTATAGTTCCTGGACTGAATTGCTTCACGAATCGCTGCTCGAGCTTGGGCTAAATCTTCTTCAATTCTCTCCAAACTAGTCTTATTCTGATCACACAACACCAAAAAGTTGGATGAGTTAAACTTAAAAATGAACTTACCAAAAACAATTCATTTGCCAAGCTTAGTTTAATTGCTCATTTTGGTGCCATCCACATGCACTAACCTTGTGTCCACTCCTCCTTCGATACATGGACTTTGTGAGTAACCCATCTAAAGAAACGTGCGGTGGGGCTGTGTAGTTGCTCTCTTTCAGATTGAAAAAAGCAGTGAAAGAGGAAATGAGGGGAATATTGAGTTGGTTTCCAGAGAAAGGTGAAAAACTTAGGAAGAAGAAAAGAAGAAACAACAACGTAACTAACAAAAAAGCTAGAGTGGGGAAGCGGAAGGCTCCTGCAGTAGAAGTCATGGCAACTAATTTATCACTTTTCTACTTGTATATGAATCTACGCAAAACCTTTCACTATATTTTTTTGGGTTGCACTAAGACACAAGGAAAAGACGGAACAAACAAAGCCAAAGACGGTCCATAAGAAAAAGAAAGAAAGAGAAGAGGGCTTATGACAGAGAAATGTAGCTATATAGCAGCTTTTAGAGAGCAAATCCTTGCAGAATCCAGAGAAGTATAGCCCAAGGTAAGACAAAGAGATGTGTCCAATTAGCATTCACTCAGGCCGATTAGCACAACCTTTTACATTTAGCTTCCTACGTATTAAATCTAAGCAGAGATCGATGTTTCTATAAGAATTAACAAGTGATCATTGAGAGAGGGAGAGTTGGTGACTGGGTATGATCATCTGGGCAGGGCATATGCAAATAATAATATTTAATTTATGTATGTATAGGAATAGGAAAAATAGGATCATGTTTTGCCATAAAAATAAAATCATTAAAAGAAGGCTTTTAGCAGCTAGCTTTACCTGGGAAATGCATGCTTGTTATAAAATAATTGACTTGGAAAATGTTGTGCCCGCCCTTACGTGTAACGAAATAAAAGTGACAACAGATGAGATTGCATATAGCTCTCACTAATCCAGTAGTTAATTAATCTCACTAAACTCTGGACCCAAAGGTATAATATCGAGTTAGCTATAGTCATACTCATCGGTTTATTATTTTTAATTAATTTCTTTTGTATTATATAACTCATGCTATAATTGATCCCAATATATCAGGAAGTGAATTTCTTGGATCACAATTTAATTGGTTCTCGAGGCTGCTGCCTTTTGATTGCATTCAAAGTAATGTGCTGTTAAAGGTCCAACCAGATCGATCGATCAATGCTCTGAAAAACATATAAAAATATAGAATCCAACAGATACCTTGGAAGCTGTTAGATTCATATGCATACCAGGACTATGTTTATTAGGTATAACTGCTCATCCACTGAATATATTTTCACATAGGAATAGATTACCTTAAGCTCATAAATTAAAGTATGAAGACTGCTAATAACTAAGCCGATTAATCTCTTCTTTTTAATTCTGATATGTGCTAGAAATAATCGTTCACGTGCATGTGAGTGATTGTTGATGAAGTTTTCGTTAACGACTGACATCCATCCACACAAGCACATCGGTTAATATCAAAACTTGATTTGTTTGGAACTTTGGTCAATGTATAAAACTATCACAATGACATTGGTAATTGATAAATGATTTGCATCTTGTTTGGGCGTCTATTCTATATAGAATCGTGCTTAGGGAGAATTGTGTTCCTATCGCCATCTCATGCAAGATGTATGTTGTAACTGAACCCTTGTATGAGAATCATGTCATATTTCCTAACTGAAGGCAATTCCGCAGCTTCATGCTCTGCTCCTCAATACACACACACACACACACACATGTATAGTTATTTTTGTATCCAGATGTCTGTACGTTATTTTCGTGCAGTGCTATTATAAACAGGCAGAAAATCAAATGAATAGTACAAAATACATGGCGTCCGCATGATAATAACATCCGGATTTCCGCATAGGAGAATTTCTATATATACATATATATATATATATATTCTAAATGTTGTCTTCCTGTTACCATTTTATAATCATTCAACAAATAATAATTAAATATTGTTCATACAATTGCGATAATTTTTTTAATAAATAAATAAAATAATAGAAAACAAATTTGAACCTATTTTCCTTATCCTGGAATTCTTCTAAAAACAAATATAAAATGACAGCCTCTAATTCTCTTCCG